GAGGCAGCACAGAAGGCACTCACTCATCTCTGCCAAGAAATTTGGAAGACAACTCTCTGGCCAACTGATTGGAAGAGATTCGTATTTGTGCCCATTCCAAAGAGAGGTGACGCAATGGAATGTGGAAGTCATCGGACAATTTCTTTGATATCTCATGCGAGTAAAGTTGCAGTTAGTAGACCAGTACTTATCTGAAAGCACCACACCAGGATTCTGAAATCAGATGATAGCTTTTACCAAATATTTAACCACTATTACGTTTGGATCTCTATTTTACCGGGCTTCATCTTTCTGTTATGGAAGCATCCCAATTCTATAAATCAGTTTCTGTAAATATCAGAACGGAGTTGTTTCCATTCCAGTATCAAAGAACCCAACTCTCAGTGACTCAACACTGCAAAAGTCGTATTTCTCACTCATCCTACAAATCCAGTCTGTTGTTAAAGAGGTGTGGCTTATCCTAGTCACCCAGGCAAGCTGACACAAACTCCTACAATTACTGTCAAGAAAAGAGTTCCTGGTAGTGCTTCTCCCTGACACTTAAATGCTCCTACCTAGACATGACACATATCACTATTACGCACCTGTTACCGATGTTATCTTTCCTAGCATCACAGGAGGCAGATAAAACACAATTATTTTATGTGTCACTAAGGTCAAGGACTGTGTCACTAAGGTCAAGGACTGGGATACGTGTGGTAGCATAGTGGTTACGAATTGGGCTGCGAACGGGAAGGTCAGCAGTTCGATACCAGCTGCTCCGCAGGAGAAAGATGAGGCGATCTGCTCCGGTAAAGATTTACAGCCTCGGAAACCCTATTCAGGGTCGCTATGGGTCAGAACCTACTCCACGGCACATAACAACATCAAACAACAAGGTCAAGGACTGGGATACGTGTGTACTCCTAGTAATCATGTATCTCCCAATTCCTTTTCTTCTACTCCCTCTACTAATTACAGAAGAATGTTTCCATTTATTTACAATAAACTAAGCCTTTGGGTAAAAGTCGTGCCAAGATGCTTCTTTGGACACAAAGTCCAAAGATGCTTCTTTGGACACAACTGAGTCGCTAAAGAGCAAAACAGGGACATAGGAGTTAACATAAATATTTCATTACTTGTTTTAATGTATTTTTTGTTTTCTTTCTTTTTACCACAAGCAAGTGAAAATAGTTTTGGGAGCCTCCTGAAAAAGAACAATATATAGCATTTGTTGTTGTTGTTGTTAAGTGCCGTCGAGTCGATTCCGACCCATAGCGACCCTGTACAGGGTTTCCGAGGGTGTAAATCTTTACGGGAGTAGAA